TCTCTCTCGCTCTCTCTCTCTCTCTCTCTCCTCCTCTCTCTGTCTCTCTTTCGTAGACCTTGTATCGGTCCTGCGAACGTGCCTCGTGGAAACGCGGAGCCTGCGGAAACGACGAGACGGCGCCGTCGTTCGGCCGTCATCGCGGAAACGGGCCGTGGATTTGGCCACCGCGTGCAGATGATTCCGTCGACTTTTCACCAACGAGGTCGTCCTCGGCGTCTCCGCCCGCGCTCCGGAAACGTTACCTTCCCCACCCCACTCCACTCCCTCCCCGCGGGAGAAACGGGGCCTCTCAGCCACCTCCACGGAGCGTCTAAGCCGAGACAACGGAGCCTGCGCGTATTAAAACGACTACTCGGTTTCCTTCCCTCCGCGCAATATCGAGGAAGTGTGTTCCCCCTCCCTATGTGAGACGCGCGCGCGGGGAGAGTAATATAATCGCGATAAGTCGGCGTGTAGAACAATTATTGCGAAATTAAGCGCGTCTCAAGGGCGCGGCTTTAACCGAATTACGTTTCGCGCGGCGCGATTATTATGACATTAATTTCGTTTTATGCATCCCTGTTGCAGCTCTTTCGCTCGGAGAGAGGAGAGCGAGTGCGAAGCGGAGCAATTCGGCGCCCGGCGAGGCTCTCGCCCCATCTGCTCCCGCGACGCTGGAAAACAAGCCTGCCTCCCCCCCCCCCCCCCGGCCGTCGTTATTAGACGACGAGTCTGGGTGAGCAGCGCACGGCAGCAATAAACGAAATCGCCGGCCCGGAGGAAACGGTGAGTACCGAGCGCACTTTCTTGTCGTCGCACGACTTTTCTCTCTCCTCTTCCTCCTTCTCCTCCTCCGTTTCCTTGCCTCCTCCTGACGCGCGAATTCTGCGTCGATCCTCTCGATCGCTCGCGGGAACGGCGTTTTCGCCCGGGCGCCGCCCCGACGCGCGCTGCCTGGAATTCCTCACCGAGCTCTCGCTTATCCCCCCCCTCCCCCTCCCCCCGTTCGTCTCATTAGCGTTTCCTTCTCTCGCAAATTCGACGTCGGTCTTCCGCATCGACAGCGAGGGAATGTAAAATGCGCTGGCGCGGTCGCCGCCGCCGCCGACGCCCGTCGTCGCTTACGTCGGAATCACGCGGGGCAACATCACTTGCCGATATCACTTCGACGGCGCTTTCGCTGGCAAATTTCGCGCTCGCGCCGAGCTCATAATTATGATTTATCCGCCCCGAAGACCCTACAGTTTATACATAATAGCGCGAGTTGCGTAATGTATCGCCGCGGCGAGATGGCAGCCGGGACGTCGCCGCTCCGCGTCTATCATCCATCACGGTGCGCTGCACACGCTGAAACCACTTAATCTTAATTATACATTTGCATTGTGGAGGGATGTTTGAGAGAGGATAATTATCGTCCTCCTCTCGCTTTCTCACTCTCGTCTCTCCGCGGCCGCCGCGCCGGGAACAATGCCACCTTTTTCGCGCGTAATAGACGCGATTCAGTAAAGCCCGACGAAGCGATATCATAATGCTGCTTCGCTGGAGCGTGCTGCTGCGAGCGGCGCTGGGCGGGCCGCCAGGAGAAGGGAGGGAGGGGATCGGGGGGAGAGGTAACGTTGAGAGGGAAAAAATATACATTCGCGAAATTGCTACGACCGGGCGGGCCCGGTCGCCGGGACGGTCGCCGGCTCTTGTTTCGACGTCGAAATGTGCGCCGACCGGAGTTAAATTTTTCAAGCCACTTGCGCGAACGCGATTTGCCTCTCTATCGGCGCAATTTTTGCAATACACTTTTTGAATACACTCGCCATCGCTTACGCTGCCGGGGCCGCCTGCCGGCCGGGCTTTTCACCGGGACTGAATAGTAGTCGCGCTCGCGCGCGACATGAAAGGACAAGAGAGAGAGACGGAAGGTAGAAAAAGAAGAGAGAGAATGGATCGAGGGGCCGGGGCGGGAGGGGGCAGGGGGAAAGGGCGCGCGTCGCGCGTATGTATCGAACGGAACACGTCGATTGTCGACGGCGCGCGGAATCGACACACATTCCGACTGTCTGTATTAACAGCGCGCGCCAGCTCTTTCATCCTCCAATTTCGGGGGATGCTCGCGCGCTTCGCGGAGCCCGGGGGGGAAGAAAGACGCCGTCGCGTCGAGACAAACCCGGTGGATTATCCTTCTCTTTTCTCGTCGTCGGAGCGAAAGCCTGTTCGAGCCTGATGAAAGCGCGCGGCGACCTCGCGAGGGAGAGGCGGAGGAGCAAAAATTGCCTGCCGCATTTTCGGCGCGAGGCAAAATGAGGTAATTAAGATGGCCGCCGCCGAGCACTCGCGCGCTTCTCAGAGCGACTCGCGCGACTCTCCGGCTCTTTACCTCTTTGGTCAGGACGAGGTTTTTGCCGTGTTCGGATGCCGCGGTCGCTACGATATTGCGCGCCGGCGGAATTTTGATGCCGTTACGCGAGAGAGAGAGAGAGAGAGAGAGAGAGAGAGAGAGAGAGAGAGAGAGAGAGAGAGAGAGAGAGAGAGAGAGAGAGAGAGAGCGAGAGAGAGAGAGAGCGAGCGCGCGCCGTACATGGACACGGACGTCCGCGTTTAGCGTGTCCGCTCTCGCAATCGCCGACCCTATCGGGAGCCGGGCTCCTTTTCGCGCGCGGCGAATGTGTCGTAATCCTCGAACGTGGACGCGAGGCCGAGGCCGTCTTCGTCGTCCAGTCTTTGGAATTCAGCGCGACGAACGGAGGGCGCTTCTCGTTGCGAAACGCCGCGGATCAGCCTCGCTCTCTATCGAACCGAAGCGTCCACGTCGAAGGAAGCGAGAGAACTTGTCGCTCATGATGACGACGCCGACGGGAGACAGAGAGAGAGAGAGAGAGAGAGAGAGAGAGAGAGAGAGAGAGGAGGGCGTTTCCGCGGATGCGTCCCCTGCCGCAACAATTGGCGCGACTCCAATGGACGAAGCAAGAAGGGCGAGATAGAAGGGCGGCCGCAAGCAACAGTCGGAAACGAGTCCAGTCATTCTCGAAATAGGCACCTGGAATGTCGGCCCTCGGCCGCGGTTGCAGCTATTCTCTATCCGATCTCGGTTGCTGGTGTCACCGCCTATCTCTCGACTGGCCACCTTTCTTTCTTCTTCTCGTACCCTCGCTCGACCACCCGCCATCATGCCGCCGAGCGCCGCCGCGCGCGCGCTGCGGAGATTTCGGTGACGCGCTGCTGCGGTCGTGTACGACGCACCCGGCAGATAAAGAAATGGCGCCCTCTATCTCGCGCTAATGGATTGGCCAGAGCCGGCCTCTCTACGACTTTGTTCTTCATTATAATACATTCGGCCTCGTCGCGATACGGAGAACCGTGCCGGGGGGTTGCCGAGGTCGCTCGGGGAACTCGAGGAAGAAAGACTCCGTCGTCGGCCTTCCGTTGTTCCGCTCGGCGCGATCTCGTTCGCTCCCGAGGAAGAGTGCGTGCGACTCGAGGAGGAGGAGGAGGAGGAGGACGAAGTGGCCACCGGCAAGGAGATACCGATGGCATTTAGTAGCTTCGCTCGAAACGTTTTAGATAATGACCGGCTAGGTTACCGGTCTAGACGCGCGGGGGGCAGGAGGAGGAGGGAGGCCTTCTCTCCTCGCGTTCGATTCCACGCCGACTCACTCTTCTGCCGGCTGACTCGGCGAGGGGGAAGAGGAGGACCGGGTGGGCGGGGGGGGGTACGGAGTGGAGCGCAGGAAGAAACGAAGATAAAGGTGGCCCCGGCCGCCGCGTCTGGCGATAGCGAGCTTTCATTCCGAAGCATTATTCACGTCGTTTGCCAGGCAAACGGACGAGCCGGAAAATTCGGCGGAGCGGGAAACATTGCGTTTTCGAGTGCGTCACTGCCGAAAAAAAAAGAGAGGAAAAACACGTGTGTGTGTGTGTGTGTTTTTTTCCCGGCTCGTACGATATAGCGGCCCGTCGCCGCCGCCGCCGCCGCCGCCATTGGCGACCGGTGTGTGTGCTTGTACATCCGCGGTGCCGGCAGCCTCAATTTTTGTCCCTCCGCTCTCCCCCCTCCCTCCCTCGCGACGGTTTCGCCCGTGCGCCTCTATTTGACCACCTTTTTTCAGCGGCGATCGCGCCGCAACGAGAGCGCCATGTGTGTACGTATCGTTTGCCCGTTCACACAGCGGGGCAAAGAGAGGGGTTGAAGGGAGGGAGCGTCGGGGGGGAGGTGATATCGTCGATGCAGAAAGGAGTCGACCGATACGCGGAACGTATCGCCGGCGGAAACGGTGGATCCGGAAAAAGTCCGCGATCGGTGCGCGCGTATACAGGGTGTCGGCGAAAGACGCGCGACCAAAGCGGGGCGAGACACGGCAGGGGGGGCGGAAAAGTGTCGATGGCGATGTGATGGCGCGCACGTTGGAGAATCAACAAACGCACGAGGGGCAGAGAAAAAGAGCGAGTGAGCATCGCCAATGGCATTTGCCGGGATTGAAATGCAGCCGACGGCAATCGGAACACCGGTTTACCGCGCGGGCACGATAAAGCCGCGCGCGCGGCAGCGGAGTCACGAGGGTGGTCAACAAGCTCATTCGATGCTCGCTCGACCTTTTTTAAATACAGTGTGGCGGCGCGCGCGCGCACACAAGCCGGGGTAATTAAACGTTGGCGAGCGCGCTTTCGGAAAGAGGGATGGCGGCGGAAAATACAAGTTAATCCTGACGCGCGGCCGCTTCCGCCGGGTGTCGCATGGAAACGCCGCTAGTTTCAGCTTGAGAGAGAGAGAGAGAGAGAGAGAGAGAGAGAGAGAGAGAGAGAGAGAGAGAGAGAGAGAGAGAGAGAGCGAAAGAGCTCGCGAGAGAAAAGAGAGAGAGAGAGAGAGAGAGAGAGAGAGAGAGAGAGAGAGAGAGAGAGAGAGCCGTTTGTCGCTCGCGTTACCTCAGACCAGTTTGGCGCGAGCTCGCGGCGGGCGCTTCCATATTGAAACGTAGCTCCCTCCCCCCCCCCTCTCTCTCTCTCTCTTTCTCTCTCTTTCTCTCTGTCTTTCTCTCTTAGACGAGCGAAGTCGAATAAATTTCTCGCGGAGAGCGCGCGATTATCGCGCTCGGCGAAAAATGGCGCGACGCGCGAGCGGCGACGACGACGCGCGCGCGTAAAACTTTAATCGCGCCGGGCATTAAATCCGAAGTGCCTGCGCGCGTTATTATGCGGAATTAGCTCTCGGCGCGACGATATTAGGCGGGGATATGGTTATAACTTTTGTTGCTCTGTGGGCAATAATTTACATAGCGAAATTGCGGCGGCAGGCGGTGGCGGCGCGTGTACCACCTCGTCTCGTCTCGCCCCGCCTTGCCTTGCCGTGTCGTTGCAATTCCGATTGCGCGCGGGCCCTTTTTCATCGCGCAGAGCGTTATGAAACAAACGACAAGAGAGACACGCGGCTGCCGCGCCGCGGCTAACGCTGTTTATGGCAGCGCAACCGTCGGCGCTGGCGAAAGTCACGTAGCCATTTAAGTCTCTAGAAAGTGCGGACAGGCTCGTTAGCGCGCGAAACCAACGGCATTTATGTACATCGCGCCTGAAATGATTGCCTCTTTTTTCACCCTTTCCCACTTGCGTCATCGAGACCGCCCTTGGAAGCCTCGGCTGATTCCCCACGATCGATTCCCAGCGACCTCCGGCAATCGCCGGACGAAGAAACGGAGATTCTACGCCGCCGCCGTCGGGAAAAAGCCGACGTGGATCAAGGTGGACGAGAGCGAGAGCGAGAGCGAGAGCGAGAGCGAGAGGGAGAGGAGTGAAATAAGCTAATACGGCGGCGTGTACACGGAGCAGCGGCGCGCGATCCCTCTTCATGAAGCGCCATTCACGAGCCGGTGACACATTTATAACAGCTCGCGCGCGTTCTTACACTCGCCGCGTCGCGCGTTTTATCAGAGGCGGCGTGTACTTTCGGGGCGCATGTACCTCGCCGCAAGAAAGCTTGTCGACACGCGCAGTGTCTCGTGTCTCTCCGTCCCCCCCCCCTCCCCCCCCGAAGAGGAGCATTGTCGAGGCGACCGCGCTCGACGGCTCCCTCGTAGATAAGGGAACGGTCTTACGCAAGCTCTTCGGCAGCACATCGGCGAAGATGCGTACGTGCGAGAAACGGACGGACCGAGAGGAACCACATGGACAGATAATCCGTGGTCGTCGTAAATTTTCGCCCTGACCACCGGCGAATTCCACGAGGCCGTGTCTAATGTCGGAACCGAAACCGACGTGTCGTTGATGGTTCCCGCCGGGAGAGAGAAAGAGGACTACGCCGATCGACAATGACGATGATCAGGCCGGCCGCACAAAAACGCCATTTTCCGGCTCGCACAGTTTTACCTCTCTCTATTCAAGCGGCCCGTACTACAAGCTTCTTTGGAGCCCGCTGAAAGGAATGTTTTCGCCTTCAAACCACTCGCTGCATGTTCGTCCTCGGCTAGAGTGCCTCGACACGAAACGTCCGGCCGAGGCGTCACGAGCGCCATAGTCCTCCGTCGGCCTTGCTCTTCGGATTATCACCTGTTTAGTGCAGCCAAGAGCGGCCGTGAGACACGACGCGTTTACGACGGAGATCTGAGGAAGCGGCGAGTCGACGGAAGCGCTTTCTGCGTCGAGGAAGGACGAGCGCGCGGGAACGGACCACCAAACGCGAAGCGGCACCCCCGTTATCGTCGAGATAAGCTGCCGGAGAGGTACGTGGCGATCGATTTATCGCTCGCGTCGTCGTCGTCGTCGTCGTCGTCGCCGTCGTGGCTATCGATCCGCGCGGCCGTTTCTCCTATTTTTTTCCGCGCCATACATATACATATGCCTTGTATTACTCCGTGCATTTATTTTTTTTCATATTTCATTTTTCTCCATATTGGAAAAGTGAATATTTTATGAACAATTAAACGCGACTCCCGCTCGGCGCGTTTGGAAACGCAGAGAAATCGACGCCGAGAGAGGAATGATTTTTTATTGTTTGTCGTTTTTCCTTTTTCCGCGATGAATAACACGTGTTCACGTTTGGAATATGCAATATTACAAAAATTACGCTCATGGGACAATTGCACGTGTATAAGCGCATTTGCATTTATAAATATATTTATTTATTTGTTTATTTTTCTACGGGGCTAATCCCGGTTTTAACAATTACAGGGATATGTAATTAAAGGATAGGCGGAAGAAAATCGTGTCGGCGATTATACGGCGCATCGCGCGTCTCGCGTTCGGAAAAGTCACGCCGCCGGCGCGGCGGGAGATTGGCACTTTGCTCATTTTCCTCATCTTCCTTTTCCGAAGCGTCCGCGCCCCCGGAAATCTGCGTAATCTCTCCCTGGGACGCGCTAAGGAAAATGCGGGATGTTTCCTTGCGCGCGCGTCGAGCAGGGAACATTTTTGTCCTCGCAGATTAGCCAAATTTCACGCTGCGCGGCGCTTCATCCGCTCGCGGTGATAATACCGCTCGTCTCGCGGATATTTGCCTCATCCTTAACCATCAGCCTTTCAACGCTTTCCATATTTCGAAGTTGCGCCACCAAGTTGGCAAACTTTTCACGCGATCATACTTGTTACGCGCGCGCTCGCGCGCGGCAGATTTATAAAGGCCGCTTCGATTCGTCGCGGAACTTTACCGACGATTTTCCGATCGCCCCGCTGTCGTCGGGGATTGCTCAATCAAACGGGGGCGGGCGGAGGGGGCGGGGGAATGAGATTCCTAGGAGTTTATGAAACGGAGAGACGCGGCACATGAGCGCATCCGCGTCGTTCACTTCTCGCAAAGAGGAGGGAATCGACGAACGCGAACGCAAACCGTGGCCTGAGCCATTCGCGTCCGTTCGGTGCATCCCCCCTCCGGCTTTGCATGTCGCGGCTGTTTTTGCGCAGAGTCGCCGCGCGCTCCTGTAATTATTCCTGTTTACTTTTCATCTGTTTTAATGGCGAACGGGATATATACCGATCTAATGGCTCATCTGCCGACGCGTTATTTCTGCCGGAAGAAGCTCGGCGAACGTGCCCTCTTTCTCTCTCTCTCTCTCTCTCTCTCTCTCTCCCCCTCCCCTCCCCCTCCCTCTCTTTGTCTCCTCTCGACGCCACGAGAATTCCCCATTGGCGTGGCGTGCTGCGAAATTCGCTCGGGATGATCGCAGGGTGAACGAGAAAAGGACGCAGACGGGGGAAGGGAGGGAGGGAGGGGGATTTGTTCGTTCAACGCAAATGGAATCCCTTCGAATTAGCGCGTGGCCGGCCGGCCGCACGATAGCCCGTGGAAAAGTATAATCGACTCGGTTTCTTCGTATTTATTATTCTATTCAGCGTCTACGCGCGAAAGCACATAGGGGGAACAGAGGGAGGGAGGCGCGAGATTCATCCCGCGAAATGAAACATTGAACCCGCTATTAATACGCGAGCGGATCAGTGTATTTTCGTGCTCTCTGATTGGGTGGCAAAAAAGAAGGCGCGAGAGAGAGAGAGAGAGAGAGAGAGAGAGAGAGAGAGAGAATCACGCGTCGGACATATTGTGTGCCCGTTGCCTCTCTCCTTGCCGCCGTTGTGATCCTTTTTCGCGCAGAACGCGCCATTGAGCAGCGTCGCTGTTGTGTCGTCGTCGTCGTCGTTGTTGTTGCAGTCTTGCGCGCGCTGCACGACTGCATGTGTCTGCGGCGCCAACTTTGTCGGCGACGAGGAGGAAACTTTTGTCGTTGACAGCATTGTCGGGCCGCTCGCTCTCGTCGGAGCTCCGTTAGAGGAGGAAGGTCGTCGTCGTCGTCGTCGTCGCCTCGACGACGACGACGACGTCGTTGTTGCAAAAATAGTTTCACCGCGGGTATAAATCCAGCGAGAGCGAGAGGAGCCGGCTTGTTGTAAGCGACTCGGCTATTCCTGTAAATCCAATTTGCGATGAGGGAACACGGCCAGGATCGACTTCCGACATTTATGTCGGCAAAAGGAGGAGGAACGCGGCGCGTCCGAAGCATCGCGGTCAAGATAAACAGCTTTTTATAACTCTAATGAAGTTACGACGAATATATTATAGGGAGGGAGGGACAGAGAGAGAGAGAGAGAGAGAGAGAGAGAGAGAGAGAGAGAGAGAGAGAGAGAGAGAGAGAGAGCGGCCGGGGGCGAGAAAGAGGGATGAAGTTGTTAATAAAGTCATATATATCTCGCGAGGAAGTTAAATTACGCGTAAAAAATGGCACACACTTTTCTGCATTATCTTAGCGCGCGCGCGATGTATATTAATACGACGGGCGACAAACGTGTCCTTTGTCGTCCGTCACGCGTAACGATATTTACGGGGACTCTGACCGCGCCGTGTTATTTCCGCGATCCCACTTTGAGTCCTCGGAGGGGGGGAGAGAGAGAGAGAGAGAGAGAGAGAGAGAGAGAGAGAGAGAGAGAGAGAGAGAGAGAGAAGGAAAAATAAGGGAGGCACGGAGATGTCGCGTCGCGAGAGCGCGCTTCGATGTAATCTCGATCCGAGCCGGCTAATAATTCAGCGTGGCTCCGGCTGGCCTGCGATAGCCCTACACGTTATCAGATTACGTATTCTATTATTATAATAACAGCGAATGAATATTGTAGGTCAATCTTCCGCCCCCTCCCCTCGCGCACGCGCGACACCCCCCGCGTACATAATGCAGTTTATCCGCAACTGGCGTAATATATCCGGCGTTAATTATCCAGAGCGGAGACGCGCCGTCACAATCCGCTGTTAACGAGAATGAATTATACAGGGCGCGGATCGCGTAAATATCGGAAACGCAAAGTTTCGCTCCACCTCTCTCGCCCTCTCGCTACGCCTCCGCGTCTCGTTGCCGTCCCTTTCTTTCTTTCCTTCTTTCTCCTTTTCCTTTCTCTTTTTTCTCTCTTTTTTTCTGGCCCCTTTTTTCCTCCTTCCGTCAACCGCGAATGCACGACGTCGCGCTCGCGCAAGTCGCCGCGGCGCGGCGTGTCGAAACCGGTCGGCGTTGGGGATTTTTCGCCAGCTCGGGAATTTTTCGAATTAACGAAACGGAAGCGGAAAAAGACGCGCGCGCGCGAAATCACCGGTGGAACAAAGGAGCAGCGCGCGCGCGCGGGGAAAAAGAGGAAAAGGAGGAGGCGTTTAGTTGTGTCCGTTTTCCGAAGCCGGCAGGGCGCGAGATAAAAGGCGCGCGCGGCGCGAGCTGGCGCGGGAATAAAGTGGAAATGTGCGAAATGTAAAGTTCACAGCGTTGTTACACTTTGCAGCGCGGCGTGGAAACTGCATAATTATAAAATGCACGCCGGGGCGCAAAGAGGAGCGCGCGGCGCGTTTTGCAACAAACCGTCGCCGCGTTGTTGAATAATGTCGTTTCCTCGTCGTTTTCTTCCCCGAATAACTCCGCTCGCGTAAAGTCACGTCGCCTTCCGCGGGTGCGCGATTTTAGGACTCGGATTGTTTAATTGAGGAGGAAGGGAGAAGAGGGATGGGGGGGACAATGCGGCTCGCTGCGTCGCGGCAGTCGATGATCGTGGTCGTTGGACGAATATTTTCGCGATTACTCGTCGCCGGCGCGCGCTCGCGTTCCCATACACGCGGAGGCGGTTGCGGGAGGGGAGGGGGCGGGGGCGGAAGAAGAGGAGGCGAGCCGAGAGCGATCTTTTCGTAGCTCGAATCGTGACGGCAACGCCTCCGAAAATAGCGCGCCGCGAGACAATGGCGTGTGGCGACCTGAAGATCCGCGCGCCTCCGCCTCTCCCCGCGCCCCCCTCTGTCGCTCTATGAGCCGTTGCCCCGTCCGACAATGAGTTTTATTGTCCGACCGTGACGAGAGGGAACGCTTCCCGCTTATCCATCTCGTCAGTCACAGTCGTCAGCGTCGCGCGCGGAGATTTCGGGGGCAGATTTCTCGCGACGCGTGTACGAACGTCGTCGCGGAGGCGCTGATCGGCCGACAATCTCTCTGTCGCTTCACACCTCGACGTGTCACACCTCGCGGAATCTCGGAGGAGCATCTCGCCGGGGGAGAAGGCTGGTCTTCTCACCTGTTCGCCGAAAGACGTTGCGCGTCGCAGTTCGCCGGATGTTTCTCGTCCTCTCGCCCTCGGCGAGACCGACGACATGCCGAAAAGTCCACTTTGCGGAATCTCGCGGCGAGCCATTAAGTAAAGAAACCACGACGAATACCGGCGCGGCGGCGGCGACGGCGACGGCGGAGAGTTAAGCCGGCGGAATGACTTCCATTTAGAATTTATCCACGGCCGCACACGCACACGCGCGTACATCCGGGGGCGGAAGGGAGCGGGACTATTTCTCGTCGGGCGAAGACACGTTCAAGAGCGGCGCGCGGCGGAGAAAGAGAACAGCGGGTGGCAGACTCGGGACAATTTGAAACAGTGGGGTCGCATCTGGCTCCGCTTTTCCAGGGGCCCCCGGAAGAACCTCGTACACACACACACACATACACACACGTAGACTCGCGCCGCCGCCGGGTGGGCGTGCACCGGCGGTGTCGTCCTGGCGCGAGCAAAAGGACCAACTGCGCAAAGTGGGACGTGCGATCTTTTGTCACCGCATCCATCCCGTTCGATCCTTGCCGTTTTGCGGCCGCTTTGACGAATTGCGACTTCGGCGACTCGAAATCTGCGTGAAAATTAAACGACGGAAAAGAAGGAGCGGGGGCGAGGCAGGGACCCGCGCGGAAATTCCCCGAGGGAACCCGCTTCCCAGGCAAATGGCGGAAGT